TACCAACATCTGGTGAAAATTTCATGTCATTAGCACCTCTAGTAATATATTTACTGAGAAAAATGGTGACGTTTTCAATACTTATTTTACCCGCTGTGCCTGCCCATACTCCCCTGTTCGATCCTTGCCCTCTCCTCCACACCGACCGCCTCCAGGAAAACCTGTAAGAAGAAGAACCTTTATTACCTCCAAACTCATCCTTAAGATCTGTTTTCCTGCTGAACATTATACTCACCATCTGCCTTCCTCCTACAGACCTGAAAACGATCCTGCACCTGTAAACAAACTTCACCTACCTTTTATCTCMGTCTCCAGAGTGTTTACTCAAACACTGTCTGTTAGACTACAACCCATATTTCTGATAAAAACAGAATGAGTGTGTGTCTTATATGTGTTCTTTCTGTTTGCAAAAACAAAGGTTGGTTACGTTCTAACGTCTGACGTAAAAGGTACCGCCGCCAGGGGTGTGACCAGGAAGTCAGACATACGTTAAGAAACTGATTCATTATTATTTATCAGTTAGTTATTGATTTTGTAATCTCTCTGTTAGATTCAGCCTGGCACAGATGCCAGCTGTTGAGAGGGGTTGTTTTGATGTTCTGATAAGGCCAAGGCCTTTTTCTCTGAGGCCTGGCTGCTGGGAGCTGATTGGAGTCAGATGAGAACAAAAACCAGAGTTTTTCAAATGGCTTTCTAATTTATTCAGACTTCCACTTTATTGATCATGATTTCCTTACAGTACTACAGTTTGGTTCAGATTATTACTTAGTTAAATTTAAGCTATTAATAATTTAGATCAGACCTAAATATATCTGTATCTAACAAGAATTATCAAAATTTTTGACTAAATCTTTGTTTCCCACCTTTAAAGATTTGACAAAAAACATTATATTTGAACAGTTTTACAGTTGTAGGCGATGCGTTGTCATTAATAAAGCAACCTTACCTGTATGAGTGAGGCGTTGTTTAAACTCACTCGGAAGAGGAAGTTTCTGTAAGACATTCTTCCAATTAGAGGTAAAGCAACAAACTGCAGACGGTACAAATCTACTGGTTGTAATAAACTCATTTAGTGTTTTAGCTGTGTGCTGCAGGGTTAGAGACTGAGTTCTGCTTGTTTTACAGTAAAAGCTGTTATTGATCACCTTGCTCCYACAATGAGCTGATTTCTGCTCAGGTCAACGGCCAACTGGGAGAAATCCTTCACTCCTGGATGAGAAAACTCAGACACCCATGACCTTAGTGCTGAAATATATATAGAAATGAGACAAGAGGGAGTGTTAGAGGAAGAGTAGTTGAAGGAAAAATCAGAAAAAAGAAAGAAACTTGAGGAATAAGTGCGAGAAAATTCAAAAACGTCTGGCAAATATTTTTCTACTAGTGGTATTTGGTTCACAGCTTTACGCTCAGTTAACCTGCGTTTTTTTAAGTATCTTTTTATTGAGCATCCATATMTAAACRGATACATATCAAAAGAACATCCTTTGAATATTGCTCATAATTTTACATTTATGTGTCAATCATTCAGCCCCATTCCCTCAACCCACCCACGAACCATCAACATCAGGGACACTCATCTAAAGAAGAAAAAGTCTTTAAACTGTGCATTGTGGAAAAAGAAAAACAAACAAACCCCACATTGTTTMAATTATTTTGTATGGATGACCATCATTAGGACAAGGAAGGAGAAAGAAAAATAAATAAATAAATGAAATGAAATAAGATAAAATAAAAAAAATAGGCTCAATAAGATTAAGAAGGTATGGTTTTGAGTTTGTCTAGGTATATCTGCACTGGATTCCAGATAGAGAAACATTTATCCCTAGATCCTAGTGGTGTTTGCCTGATCTTTTCTAGCTGTGTGAATTGCATCAGATCTCCTAGCCACAGACCGGCCTTAGGTGGGTCTTTGGATTTCCAATGTAATAAAATCCTTCTGCGTGCAAGTAAAGTGGTGAATGCAATAATATATGTGTGGTTTTTCCTAATTATGAGGTTTTTATCACTGACACCAAATATAGCCATTGCAGCGTTAGATTGCAGATTGATATTTAACCACTCTGATAGTGTTTTAAAGATTACCACCCAATAAGTAGTCAGGGAGGGGCAGGTCCAAAACACATGTGTCAAGTTTGCAGGAGTTTGATGACACCTGTCACAACCTTCATCTACATTAGGAAAATTTTTTGCCAACCTTGCTTTGGAATAATGACTGCGATGTAGAACCTTAAATTGTATTATGCCAAGTTTTGCACAAAAGTTACTGTTGTTTCCTCTTTGTAAAGCATTGTCCCAGCAATCATCCTCCAACTTCCCACCTAACTCATTCTCCCATTCAGTTCTAATCTCTGTAAGCGATACATTTTTCATGGAGGTTGTGAATTCATTTGTTCTTGAAATTAGTTTGTTCTTTTTTGAGTTTGAAGGGATGTTTAACAAATCATCTAGAGAGGGCACAGATATGTTTGGAAAGTTAGGGTCATGACACTTGAGAAAGTGTCGTATTTGAAAGTAACGGAATAGATCAGACCGAGGA